GTTTATCACTTAAGTTAACTTTTTATTAACTTTACATGCTTTTTAGTAGAAAAGGCTTTGCTTACTCTCACCTAATTTTTTTTTTCATTATAAAGTCCTTCACCTATTGTTCAGTATGGATGATAAAGGCAAAGAAATTCAAATGCCAAATGTCATCAAGATTCCAGTTATACTAAACAGTGCCCACATATAATGTAGAGATGAATAAGACCCAGTCCTGTGTGACCATGTCCCATATGAGCCATGAGGAATTAATGTATATTCTTAAGACTGAAATTTTGGAGCTGAAAGTGACTTTGAATAATCTAGTTCAATAAGTTCATTTACAACTTAAAAAATTGAGACCTGGAAAGACATCATTTCACACCAACTGATAACCTTTCCTGCTACCAAAAAAAAGCAATTTACCTAGCCTAAAAGATAGAAATCACTGAGAGTCTTTAAAATGTGATTGATATTTGAAGTTTTTTAGCTCCATGAAGGTGTCCCAGTTTTGAAGTTGGATGTGTATTGATTTTCTTTTTTTTTTCCATTTATTTTTATTAGTTGGAGGCTAATTACTTTACAACATTGCAGTGGTTTTTGTCATACATTGAAATGAATTAGCCATGGATTTACACGTATTCCCCATCCCGGTCCCCCCTCCCACCTCCCTCTCCACCCAATCCCTCTGGGTCTTCCCAGTGCACCAGGCCCGAGCACTTGTCTCATGCATCCAACCTGGGCTGGTGATCTGTTTCACCCTAGATAATATACATGTTTCGATGCTGTTCTCTTGAAACATCCCACCCTTGCCTTCTCCCACAGAGTCCACAAGTCTGTTCTATACATCTGAGTCTCTTTTTCTGTTTTGCATATAGGGTTATCATTACCATCTTTCTAAATTCCATATGTATGTGTTAGTATACTGTAATGGTCTTTATCTTTCTGGCTTACTTCGCTCTGTATAATGGGCTCCAGTTTCATCCATCTCATTAGAACTGATTCAAATGAATTCTTTTTAATGGCTGAGTAATATTCCATGGTGTATATGTACCACAGCTTCCTTATCCATTCGTCTGCTGATGGGCATCTAGGTTGCTTCCATGTCCTGGCTATTGTAAACAGTGCTGCGATGAACATTGGGGTGCACATGATTTTCAAGGTTGCTATCAAAATGCAGATACCTCTAGGCAACATATAGGCTTATGCATTTTAAGCTAAGCTAGTTGATAGCTGAGATCTTTGAAACTGAAGAGAAATTAGAAGTCTATTTAGTTTGAAGAGTAGGAAATAGGGCTGGTTAAGGAGGTGTGCTGACAAGTGAGCTGGAGGAGAGCCAGAACCGCTTTCCCCCCTCCATGGTACAGCTCGAGGCCAGTCCTTCATGTAGGGAGATGCTGACTAAAGAAAAAGTGGCCCAGCTGTTGAAACCGCTTTGCGGCAAACAGGAAGTGACAGAAATAGCTACCTTTTCAACACAAGCAGAAGATTTAAATGGTGCACAATAAATTTTTGTCTGTCAATTAGATGGCAAACTAGAAAGTCATGGATAACAAGGATGGCTTCTCATGTCACTTCAGGGGACTGTTTAAAAATAGAAGACTGTGAGAAAGCAGGAGAAGTATAATCAATACCGTGATTAATGGCAGTAATTTCACACAAACATCTGAGAAATTAAATATGCTCTTTGGAAGGTGTTTTGCCTCGTGACTAGTGCAGAAATGAATGAGTTTCAAATTGAACATCACTGTCAGTATACTGGATAATTCACAGCCACAAACGAATTCAAGTTAGAACATTTCCAGCTGTCAAATATATAAAAAGTCTTCTATTTAGAAGTAAATATACGCTGGATCACCTATTCAGTCTTTGTTCACAAAATTAGCTATATAATGGCAATTATGCACATACACACAATATTATATCCCCAAATACAAGTTTGGAATTATGGAAAATGATAGAGCTGTATTGCGCATGCTCAGTTGCTAAGTCATGGCCGACTCTGTGCGACCCTGTGGACTGTGGCCCACCAGGCTGCCATGTCCATGGGATTTCCCAGGCTAGAATACTGGAGTGAGTTGCCATCTTTTTCTCCAAGAACTCTACCACAAGACCCCTATTCCCAGGGAAGGAAAAATTTCTGTTGACTAAGCAAAGAATGGTCTCAGGAAAGAATTATCCAGAAGTGGAAACTGGCTGTGCTTCCAAACCACAGGCAAACATTAAAAATATTTGCAGTGTTTGTAAAATTTAATTCAGCAAGTCTGAGGTGGAATTCAGAAATCTGTATGGCCATTTAATGCCTTGAAAGTTCTTGATCATTAGCCATCTTTGAGAAACACTGCAGTATTGTATTAAAAGACCTGTGATATAAAATCAAAATCTAAAATATATGATCCGAGAGATGGAACTTTTTTACCCCAAAATAGCTCCAAAATGAACTGTTATATTTGCACCTTACCCACATTATCATATAATTGGTCTTCTAAATGAAACCTTGTCATTGAAATAGTCTTCTTATTTCAATCATCTTTAGAATCCTGGGATAGAAAAAGACTAGTAAAACAATGATTTCTATACATAGAAAATAAAAGAGTCAAGGACAGGACTGCTAGATTCTCAAAATTTAGTTAGTGATTCACTGGACTCCTATTCATTTCTAATCAGCACATCATGCAAGCCCTCTTGGTAAAAATGATACCATTAATGAAAATGTTTTAGGAACTTTGCATCTATCTTAAATACTTGGATATGAGCTGACAATGTTACATCTCATATCTTTCACGGAAAAAAAAAAATGTTCTTACATCTAAGTGTCATATTTTATAGCCAGGAAATTCAAACTGTAAGTAATGTCATCAGTTATGTAGATCATGATTATAAGAAAGCATTGCTGTGAAAAGAAACTACTCTGTTTCTAAAAATTGAGGCAACAAAGAAATCTACTGGCAAATTGATTACTGTGATTCCAGTCTAGTCTCCTTCAATGCCTAGGTCATCCAGTGAAAGCGTTACCCACTGTCTCTGCATTTGTTTAGACACTTATTTCTGGCTATCTGTCCTCCTAGGCAAAGTGAAGATTCATCACTTAAGTAATCTCCTTTCCTGCTTTCCTTCAGAGTCACTCCTAAGTTGAACTATTGCACCATAACAGTCCTCTCTTCTGTTGGTGTCAGCATCTCGAATGACAGAAAACAGGCTGGAAATGCTTCCTTCTCAGGCTACTGCTTTGGCTTGGAGAGAGGGTGATGCTGCAGCAGGTATGGGTAATGGAAATGGGCATTACTTTCCCATGCTGCATGTGCCTTCGGGACCTGCCTGGACGTCATCCAGTATATACCACTAACTGGCACACATAACTTTGATTCAATTCATATAAAGTGCAAGAATCCTGTAGTTGGTGCTTCAGTATCTAACAGGGCAGAGTAACAAGTCAAGGATTATTTTTCAAAGTGAGAATAGTTACTTGATATAAAGTACATAATTCTCATTCCAGAGCTCTGAACATTTCTCCTATTATGGGTTGTTGTATGTTGAATATGCTAAAAGGACTTTGAGCATAAGTTAACACACTGAATAATGACAGAAACTCAATCCTTTAAACAATGGACAAATACATCTTTTTTGAACCCTATTAAGTCAGTAGCCTTTATTATTGAGTAAATGAGTTGAAGAGCATATTCAAAATAATACCTGACTCTTTCTTGATATTAACACCTAAAAGATACAACAAATTATTAATAATTTTATTATTAATTATATTATTGATTTAGGAACTATTCTAGCTTGCCCTAAATAATTAGGCACCTCGAAATTTCTTTGGATTGTTCAAACCTCCCTTTACACTCACATTCCATATGTTGACATGCATGCATCTGCATCTCTTAGCTCATTCTATCCAGATTTTATCAGCATGCTGTCATCAAGGTAGATGGCAGACAAGAATTCTATGTAAGGGTAAGAATGATTTATTTCCCTTCAAGCTAAAATATAACACAGGTCTGACATAACATGGTGCAATATGGCAAAGGTGTACTGCTGTCCTTGCCAATTGTGAAAACTGAATAAGATAGCCTATACTAATTGGAATACATTAAAAACAAAATCATTCATCAGATTAGTAGCTGCAAATCAAATGACAGAGACTGTACAATTTATTCCAGTGAGGCGATCACATCTGAAATACCCATGACAATTTAAACCACCATCTGATCATCAGTATGATTATCCATCATTATGCTCGAAACCCATTCATTTTCTTAACTGGCTAAAGTGGGAAGTTAAATGGTTATGGAGGAGCATTAACAACCATTGAATTTTTAAAACCTTTGAAGATGGCCCTAAATTTTCTATACATTATTCCAGGAACATAGTTTTACTTTTCATATGAAGAAGAGACTTGACAGCATCTTTTGGGTCCTACATATCACTATCACTCTTCACTTGGATGAATACGGAAGATAAAGAATTTATAAGATGCTAATTGTGATATTACCAATTCTTTAAGTAGATAACCATGGCATACATTAGGATCCTGGTGGGGTTGCACTGAATCAAAAACCCTCTCCATAAGATATCTGCCTAGAAGACCAGAGTAGATACTTAGGTCCTTTGGAATTAGACAGTGCAAAGTCAGTATTAAAGTATCTCTAGAAATGGGACAGGGGGAGACAAGATGGTGCAGAAGTAAGAAGACAGAGAGTCACCTTCCCCCAAATGAATCAAGAATGCATATGCAAATGGAATCATTGTTAAGAGAATTGGCAGAGGATCTTGGAAACCTTAAAGGACAAGAAAGATCCCTGTTTAACCAGGAAGGATGAAAGAAAGAAGAAGGAAAAGAAAGGAGAGAAAGTGAAATGAGCTCGGTGCTCCTGGGGGATTTGAAGGAGAAGAGAGATTCCTGAGTCCTGGAAAGGCCCCTCACCAGCAGACAGATCTGCTAGGACAGGAGCGAGCTTCAGGAGCTTGGAGAGGAGGGCAGTGAGCCGTCGGCGGCAGGCAGGACAGAGCGACAGCTACGCAGAGGGTCTGAGCCACAGCCCGTGTACCCAAGCCTGAGACACGCGCTGACCGGTGTGGAACCCTGGGTGCGGGAACTTGGGGTTTGGAGAGGAAACCAGGGAGAAGGTCGCTACTGACTGTGGAGATGGTGGCGAGAGAGGAGCTTGGACAGGCCGCTCCTGGAGGACGCCCAGGCGGCCACAGGAGGGAAGCGGCTCTGTCGAGTGACATGCAGACGGTGGACCGCCTCGCAGCCTTGCTCCTGACCCGCAGCCGTCTGCTCCTGAGACTGCCCTGGAGCGCCTGAGCCTGCTCCGCGGGGACAGGTCCCATGGGGAGTGGGTGGCTGTCGCTAAGTCGTAGCTGACTCTCGGTGACCTCGTGAGCTGCAGCACACCCTCTCTGCAGCTGTTACTCTGTCCTGCCTGCCCCAGACTGGCCACCTCCCTCTTCCCCAAGTCCATGAGCGCCCCTCCTGTTCCAGAGGATCTCTGCCTGTGAGGGGGCTTTCCAGGACGCAGGAATCTCTCCTGCAGTTTGATGACCACCTTCAGAGTTGTGTTTGAGCTGCTTTTTCTCTTTTGTGGGTGTATCTGTTGTACATTTGTGGTTTTCATTTCCCATAAGATTTGATATGGCAGTCTGTGTATATACGAGTTTGTGATAAGTTGCTGATCTTTTTATTTCAAATGCAGTTCTCACTTCCTGCATTTGTAACCTTCTCTTCTTTATGGTTCATAAAGAAGGCTGAGCACCAAAGCACTGATGCTTTCAGATTGTGGTGCTCAAATTGTGGAGAAGACTCTTGAGAGTCCCTTGGACTGCAGGGAGACCAAACCAGTCAATCCTAAAGATAATCAATCCTAAAGGCAATAAAGTCATTGGAAGGACTGCTACTTAAGCTCCAAATCTCTCTTCTCCTTCAGCTCCTGCCAGGAGCACAGAGCTCATCTCACACATTCCTCTGTCTTCTATTATCTCCTGGAGTTTGCTCAAATTCAGGTCCTTGAGTTGGTGATGCCATCTAACCATCACACCCTCCGCTGCCCTCTTCTCTTTTGACCTTCAGTCTTTCCCAGCATCAGGTAGCCAAAATATGGGAAATGAAAACCACAAACCTACAACAGATACACACACAAAAAAGAAAAAGCAACTCAAACACAACACCAAAGATGTTCATCAAACCACAAGACAAAAGAAAAAAGAGGAAAGGAAGAAAAAGATATCTACAAGAACAAACCTAAAATAATTAAGAAATGTCAACAATAACATTTATCAATAATTACCTTAAATGAAAATGGCTTAAATGCTTCAACCAAAAGACATAGACTGGCTGATTGGATACAAAAACAAGGAGGTTTACATACTGTTTGCATACTGTCTACAAGATTACTTAGTCACTCAGTTGTGTCCAACTCTTTGTGACCCAATTGACTGTAGCCTGCCGAGCTCTTCTATCCATTGGATGCTCCAGACAAGAATGCTGGAGGGAGTTGCCATTTCCTTCTCCAGGGGTCTACAAAAGACCCACTTCAAATCTAGGGACACATACAGACCAAAAGTGAGGGAATGGAAAAAGATCTTCCATATAAATTAAAGTCAAAAGAAAACTAGAATAATAATACTCATATCAGACAAAATATACTTTAATAAAGACTATTATAAGAGTCAAGGAAGGACACTACAAAATGATCAATGAATCATTCTAAGATTATATAAAAAATTGTAAACCTATGTCTACCCAACATAGTAGCACATCTATATAAAAGGCAAATACTAAAAACCATGAAAGGCAAAACCAACATTGACAAAATAGTAGTGTGGGACTTTAACACCCCATTTATACCTAAGGACAAATCATCCAGGCAGAAAATTAACAAGGAAACCCAAGATTTAAATGACACATCAGACCTGATAGATTTGATTGATATTTATAGAATATTCCACCTGAAAGCAGCAGAATATACTTTCCTTTCATGCACACGAAGCATTCTCCAGGATAGATCACATCTTGGGTCATAAATCAAACTTCAGTGCATTTAAGAAAACTGAAATTATATCAAACACCTTTTTCCAACCAGAACACTATGAAATTAGAAATCAAATAGAGCAAAAAAACCTGTAAGAAACACATGGAGAGCAAACAATACATTACTAAATGACCAATGGATCACTGAAGAAATTAGATAAAAATACCTAGAGACAAATCAAAACAAAATCACAATGATTCAAAACCTATGGAACAGAGTAAAAGCAGATCTAAGAGGGAAGTTTATAGCAATGCAATTTTATCCAAGGAAACAAGAAAAATCTGAAATAAACAACCTAACCTTACACCTATAGCAATTAGAAAAGGAAGAACAAATAAAATCCTAAGTTAGTAAAAGGAAAGAAATTATAAAGACCAGAACATAAATAAGTGAAATAGAGACAAACAATAGCAAATTTCAATGAAACTAAAAGCTGGTTCTTTGAAAAGATAAACAAAATTGAAAATCTTTTGGCCAAACTCAACAAGAAAGAAAGGGAGAGGACTCAAATAAAATTAGAAATGAAAAAGGAGTAGTTACAACCGTTACCACAGAAATGCAAAGGATCATGAAACCACTGCAAGAAACCATATGCCAATAAAATGTTCAACCTAGAAAAAATGGACAAATTCTTATAAATGTAGTCTCCTAAGACTGGACCAGGGAGAAAGAGAAAATATGAAAGGACCAATCACAAGTGCTGAAATTGAAAATGTGATATTAAATCTTCTAACAACCAGAAGTCCAGGACCAGACAGCTTTACAAGCAAATTCTAGCAAACATTTACAGAAGAGCCAACACCCATCTTTCTGAAACTCTGCTAAAAATCTGCAGACAAAGGAACACTCCCAAGTTCATTCCATGAGGCCATCATCAGTATGATACCGAATCCAGGCAAAGATACCATGAGAAAGAAAATTATAGGCCAGTATCACTGATGAACATACATGCAAAAATCCTCAAGAAAATGCTAGCAAACTAAGTCCAAAAACACCTGAAAGGGATCATACTTGATGATCAAGTGAGATTTAACCCAGGGATACAAGGATTCTTGAATATATGTAGATCAATCAATGTGTTAGGTTATATGAACAAACTGAAGCATAATAAAAAAACATACAGACATCTCAATGGGTGCAGAAAAAGCTTTTGACAAAATTCACCACTGATTTATGATAAAAACCTCTCCAGAAACTGGAAATAGAGGGAACCAACTTCAAGATAATATGGGCCATATATGGCAAACCCACAGCAAACATCATTCTCAATGTTGAAAAAATGAAAGCACTTCCTCTAAGATCAGTAACAAGACAAGGAGTGCACTCTCATTCCTTTTATTCAATATAGTTTCGAAAGTCTTAGCTGTGGCAATCACAGAAGTAAAAGAAAGAAAAGGAATGAATCCAAATTGGAAAAGAAAAAGTTAAACTGTCAAGGTTTGCAGATGATATGATACTATACATAGGAAATCCTAAAGATGCTACCAGAAAACTACTGGAGCTCATGAATGAACTTGGTAAATTTGCAGATTACAAAATTAATGCAAGAAATCTCTTATATTCCTACACACTTAAAATGAAAGATCAAAACAGAAGTTAAGGAAACAATCTCATTTACAATTGCATCAAAAGAATAAAATTCTTAGGAATAAACTTACCTAAGGAGGGAAAAAACCTGTGCTCAGAAAATACAAAGTTTTGTTGAAAAAAATCAAGGATGACATAAATAGAGAGATACCATGTTCTTGGTTTGGAAGAATCGATATTGTGAAAATAACTCTATACCTAAAGCAATTTACAGATTCAATGCAATCCCTATCAAATTAGCAATGGTGTATTTCACAGAATTAGAACCAAAAAAAAAAAAAGATCACATTTTTTAATGTAAATACAAAAGACCCAGAATAGCCAAAGCAATCTTAAGAAAAATTGAACTGAAGGAATCAGGCTCCCTGACTTTAGATGCTACTAATACGTTTCAGTCATCATAACATTATGGTACTGGCACAAAAACAGAAATATAGATCAATGGAACAGGATACAAAATCCAGAGATAAGCAAGCCTTGGCACGTATTGTCATCTAATCTATGACAAATGTTGCAAGAGTATACAATCAAGAAAAGACAGTCTCTTCTATAAGTGGCACTTGGAAAAACTGGACAATTGCGTGTGAAAGAATGATTAGAACACTCCCTAACACCATACACAAAAATAAACTCAAAATGGATTAAAGACCTAAATGTAAGGCTGAGTATTGTAAAACTCTTAGAGAAAAAAAAATAGGTAGAACCCTCTTTGACATAAATCAGAGCAAGATCTTTTTTGATCCATCTTCTAGAGTAATACAAATAAAAACAAATAAATGGAGGATCTTCAAGATGGTGGAGCAGTAAGATAAGATCACCTCCCTCCCCACAAATACATCAGAAATTCATCTGCATGTGGAACAACTCCTGCGGAATACCTTCTGAATGCTGGCAGAAGACTCCATACTTCGAAAAGGCAAGCGGATCTCATCAGAATGACATAGGGCAAAAGGTAAAGATCCATAAAAAGACAGAGGATCTGGGCTGGGGACCTGCACCCTGGGGAGGGAGTTGTGATGGAGGGAAAATTTCTGCACACTTGGAAACCTCTTCACCGGTGGGGACAGCGGGGAGCTTTGGAACCTCAGAGAGCAACGCAGTGACGGGGTGGAAACCCAAACAGAGATAATTCACCACAGACTTGGTTGCCTAGTGCAGTCGCAGCCAAAACGTGGCGCACACACCCGCCTCCGCCAACGGGGCTGGATGTTGAGACTCGGGCTTCAGGAGTCGGACTCCAGAGAGAGAACCAGGGTTGACGGTCTTAGAGAGTCTCTGGGCGGGCTGAGCGGGACAGAGCAGAAGGCGGCCAGGGGAAAGACTGGGCCTCCCAGAAGGACGAGAGACCTTTGCTGTGGGGACACCCTAACTCCCCCGGCTCCTAGAGCACAAGAACTGAAAGTCGCAAATGCAGTCGGTGGGACAAGCGACAGCTGCGAACTGCCCGACCCCAGAGGGAGACAGAGGCCGGACCAAAGCTGCCCTGACGCCTGCAGGAGCCCCGGAGGCAGAGCTAGACGGGCTTCCCGTCTAGGATCCCAGAGCGGGGAATATGAAGGGACTGGCCACGGCAGAAGCCCGGGTGAGCGCCCGAGGTCGCTGTGGTTCCACCCCCAGGGGTGGCAGCTGCTACCCCGCCCTGAGCAGGCGCAGGTTATGACCCACCGCTTCCCCGGGGGTCTATGCAACTCGGCTTTGCTGAGGGACACAAGACCTCGGACCGGGCCCTCCCGACCTCAGACGGCAGCAGCCTCTTGCAGGCCTCGGCCACAGCGGGCACGCTCCCAAGACCCCGGTTGTGGCTGCCTCACCCCTTTCTCTCCCCAGGCTGGATGGGCAAGTGAGCC